GTATAATTGCACCCCATGCTTGTATTGATGGCGTACAAAAAATATAGATAATAAAAAGGAAGAAAAGTCTCATAGATTAATTTACTCTAATCCTTCTTAAAATAATTTCAAGTTCTGTGGCTATTGAGAATTCCCTCTTTTTTTTTTAACTGTTAAGATGTATCTAAAGATATTACCTAATTTACAAACTGACTTGAAGATGTTATTTTTTTAACTGTTAAGATGTATTTCAATATGTGTTGTTTAGTTGAAAAAACCTAACTCAGAGATTTTATCCTTTCAATTCCAGAATGTGTTAAATTCTCTTCATGAGAAGTTATCCATCCAGTGCCCTGACCACTTTGGGCTCGTCGTAGAACATATCAAGTCCTTACGAAAAAATAAACTGACACTGTTGGATCCCAAAGACACCTTAGCCAAGGTCTGTCAGACTGATTTAAACAGTTCTTTGTTTTCTAGGAGTATAAAATCTGAAGTTGTTAGAAACACATGAAATACCAAGAATTGTTTTCACTTGTAACTGACAGAAGCCCCGTGTAATCCTTTGTAACCTAAATTGATGAAAAGGTCGTACTTCATAGTTTTGAATTTGATGCATTCTTTAAACTGTAAGAATGCCTACCACCATTAAAAACATTTTTCAGAAAGTACATCCTTAAGAAAAGTTTACTAGCAAGCAAACATGAACTAGGTTTGTCCAAAAAAAGTAAGTTCTGTGTAAAAACAAAACTTGGTAACTGTGATACAGGAAGCTTTATAACAACAATAAGTGTGTGAGAAAGTTAAGTTTTAAGTTTTGTCACCCTTTGTACAAGAAATTATTCTTAATCAGGGTATTTTGTGTGATCCCCCCCCCTCCTCTATGTGGCTCAGCAGTAAGCCTGAATACTTATAGCACTATAAACCAGATTTTGATAACAATAGTGGGTACAGTATGTGTATGCCTAATGACAGACAAACAAAGACTGTGTGTTACAAGAAATGAGCTACATTCTGTGTTCTTTACAGTGAACGTTAGTTGACAACTGAAGATCAGTTTCAAGTACTGGAAGAAGGATGAGATGAAATCAGCTTTTAAGAATAGTTTCGTCTATTATATGCCAGCCATACTCGTGAAGTCAAAAAATCATATTGTGACAAGGTTTCTAGAAATATATTGAAATTGATGCTTACAAAAGATGTCACGTGATTAACTGTGAACCCAAGTTCGAAAAAAACCAGTTTGTACTGGAAACATACTGAATATCACTGGAAAATATGAGTGGGATTAATACTCGGTAGTGAAACCCTATGCCTTATATGGAGTTGCATTACGTAGTCAGTCCTAGTCTGTTGGATATCAGTCCATTCCTGGCACAGAGTCTGTATAAGGGAGTCCTGGGAAGTGGGTTAACCCTTTCACGGGTGAAAGGCCATGTCATCTCATTTGTTGACTCACATTCAAACTTTTATTGAACTACTATTTAATGAATTTATGTCAATAAGTTTGATATCAAACGGTAGATTATAATTCAAATTTTAGTACTATATATTACTCAATTTGTTAATTTAAAACTAAATATTAAAAAAAACTGATAAACATTGATTTTTGTGTGTCAAGTGGTATGTTGAATGCAGCAATGGTTCAAATTAGATGTTTCTGAAGTCAAAATATTAAGTCTATAGTTTCATACGAATTAGAAACTCAAATTACAGATATTGACAAGCTAGAATATAAAATAAGAAGATCTTATCTTTTCTGTTTGCTAAGATATTGCTCACGTAACAAATCAAACACAGTGGCACCCTGCTCACCTTATTCAATTTCTGGAAATGCTCCCTAATATACACTTACTTCTATATATATATGACACAAATAACCAATGGTAAGCTCAGAATGTCTCCCTAGTGGTTTTCTCAGTATTTCTAATGTACCTAGTGCCATTTTTTTCTTTTGAACCAAGATTTCAATAAGGTAGGTTATGTCTTTACTTTGTCGGGAATTTCATATTTTTTTTAGACCCAAATACAGCTTAGTTAGTAAGTTTGATAAATTATAGTAGAATTCTGTTGTATTGATGTAGTAAGTTATGACTTTTAATTATTCAAAAGTATATATAAAACCTAAAAAAATATTTTGTTTCATATCCTTCGTGTGCAAAATTTTTAAAGGCTTAGCAACCTACGTCAAGCAGCAACTGAGTACAAAGGTTGTAACTAGAAGAGATAATTGTTTGCTTTACTACTTTATATACTGTTCTATGTCTTAGGAAAAATGACTTTAAGAACTTATTTCAAAATAGCAATAATCTATATACGTATATAATGTATAATAATTGAAATGTGACTGTATTTTACAAAATACCAGTCTACTAAAACAAAGCCACGACAAGTTACTTTGTACACCTTTATGTTATTTGATACAGTAACACGAGTGCATGTGAGCCGGGTTGTTGTAATTTCTGTATTGTTAGCCAGGCATGGGTGATAGGTCAATATAATAAAATAATTAATATATATAAATGTATAATGTTATGAGATTTAAGCTATTTAGTCTAAACATTTATGTTTTCGTGTTATAACTTGTGTTCATTCTAGAATGAGAGGCATAATTTATGTTTATTTCCTAATTTTGTATGGTGGTTATGAGATCGGTCAAATCTACTGAACCTGTACAGAGATTAATTACTGAAAATAACAGATAAAATAAAAAGTTATTTTCTTCAGAAGCATTTGACAACTATCCGTTGCATGTGCAATTTCTAAATTTTCTAATGCATAAAAGTATTTTTAATCTTAAAATGAATATTACTTTGCATGATAGATAGGTAACATGTGAAAAGATAAAAAAGACATGAGAAAAACATTGCTTTACAAACCTTAAGACTTAAAAAAGTTAGATATTTTGTGTATGAAAGCATTGTAATGTTTACTGATAAACTGCCAAATTTCATTCACATTCGCTTTACTAATTTAAAAGATATAGCATGAAAACTATAACAATCACAAAATGGTTACGAGGTCGAGGGACCGAGCCTGGGTTGAAAGAGTTAACTGGGATGAATTCCCAGGAATCAGTTAGGGTAGCTCATAAGTAATCAGTGGAGGAATTGACCAGGCAAAATTGTGATGCCCTGACTCTTTTCTTAAATAAGTTAGAGCACAGATAGCCCATTGTGTAGTTTTGTGTTTAACTATGAACAAACAAACTGATGACAAATAAATATATTGAGAATCAGTAAACCTAGTTTGGTTATTATTAATAAACATAGTTTTCAAAGTTGATGACTGAACTCGCATGTATACTAATTGTGTATATATATGCTTTTTTGATTGTATATTTTCATGATCATAAACATTAATTTTTTAGAGAAAATGAATATATACTATTGATCCATGCATGTGATACAAATATCCAGGTAATAGTAATAGGTATCAACAATTCATAGATAAGTGATACCCAAGCACTGGTTATATGCAGGTACATTACATGAATTCAACACTGTAGATGCATATGGCACTAATGTGAGGATGAGTACCTAGGCCTTACAGTAATGGTGTTCTGTGTAATTGCCTTGGTTATTGGACTGTTGCTATAAGTGATACCCAAGTATTGGTTATATGCAGGTACATTGCATGAATTAAACACTGTAGATGCAGATGGTACTAATGTGAGGATGAGTACCTAGGCCTTACAGTAATGGTGTTCTGTGTAATTGCTAGGCCTTACAGTAATGGTGTTCTATGTAACTGCCTTGGTTATGGACTGTTGCTCTGCAGAAAAGAGTTCTTATTTAATACGTGAAGGTCAGTGTTGTTGTTGTTTTACCAAAGTCTGTCAAATATGCACTGACAATGACTCAGCAACTCAGGAGCACTGTAGGCCATGATAAATGTGTGTGTGACTGTTATAGCATGAATTTCCATTTGTGACATGTCTTTTATGTGTGGCAGGAAGTTTGTACCCCTTGAGCTTACTTTAATGGTGTTTTGTTACAGTATCGTAATATTAGTACATTAGCCCGAGTTCAACTTCGTGTTTTCCTGGACTATCCAGATGTTTAAGTTATAGCTATAACCTGCAACCATAAATTAATTTGAAAACGTTTTGTGACTTGCTTTGTACATTTTTGACATGTAGTAAAGTTAGCATAAGCTTCATTCATAACAATGATATATTTGTTACATACCAGATACTGTTACACTGGTTTCAAAAGTTGGTCATCTGTTTGGATGATGTGGTTTAGGAGAAGCTTGTGAACAGGTCTAAATTATCGTGAATTATCTTACTTACAATTCCGACAGAGGTTTCTAGTTCAGTTTTTGGGTACTTTTTGTTACAAACTGTTAAGGTT